AGTGACGCATGGCCAGACCAACCACAGGTAACTAGGGTCATGTATGCTGTAGCCTGCTATGGCAAATAGAAAAATAGAAACACCTGTAATGATGGCCACTGCTGAGGGAAATGTTTTCCGGTGTTGTGCCGAATTCTGCACCCCTGCCAGATTATGCACCCCCTCATTGAAGTCGCTACCTGATTGCCTAATCCCAACCCCTCCCCTAATCCTAACCCCTCCCCCACACCTACTCCTAAACCTACCAATACTAGGGGATGCATAATCTGGCAGGGTGCAAATTTCAGCACTACACCGGCCTTACATGTTTGAGCCGAACTCAGAGAGAAGGGTGTTCCTGCACAACCGGAGGCTGCAGTTTCAGGACCGCAGTTCTAGGACCCTGGTGGTTTAGTTTGTAGTAATGTTTGTACATTGTTGTTAAAGATATTGAATCTCAGGAAAAAAATTTTTTATTTCAATTGTGATTTTTGATTTATAAATGCATCAGATGTTAATTACAAAGTGTGTAATTAACCTGCTTTGAGTTTTGACGTCACCTTTTTACGGAAGTCACAACGCTCATGAAAAGGCACAGCTACTTTATGCAGGCTGTGTGCATTTGTCTGTGGATTGACTGTTTTGAAACTTATATGGTAGTTACATAGCCCTTAGACCTCAGTTATCATGGAAAAAGACAGGAAATTTCAGTTTTGACAATATGGGACCTTTAAGTGGACTTTTTTCATCTTTTCTTTTAAATGATGTTGTCAAATACTGTAACAGTATTGGGCATTAGTTATAATACTAATATACATCTGTACTGGCACTCTAGTACTTGTTTTATTGCATTCTATTGTGTAAAGTATACTATGTGATGTCACACAATACAATATGATTGGCCAATTTGAATATGATTTAAGGTAATATAAAATATTGTAGTATTATCACAAACAGAGAGTATACAGGCTTCTGCGTTTCAAGAGGGAACGCATTCAAATCAATGAAAAAGCTTTTATACAATTTCGCATGACCAGTAGAGAGAGCCGCGAGAATATTGTGTAGAAACACGAACCCAAAAAGTATTTTAGTAGGCCTATAAAATACATATTATTTTATATACTACTATTTTGTCAAGCTTCTGTTTAAATTCAGGACCGCAGTTCTAGGACCCTGGTGGTTTAGTTTGTAGTAATGTTTGTACATTGTTGTTAAAGATATTGAATCTCAGGAAAAAAATTTTTTATTTCAATTGTGATTTTTGATTTATAAATGCATCAGATGTTAATTACAAAGTGTGTAATTAACCTGCTTTGAGTTTTGACGTCACCTTTTTACGGAAGTCACAACGCTCATGAAAAGGCACAGCTACTTTATGCAGGCTGTGTGCATTTGTCTGTGGATTGACTGTTTTGAAACTTATATGGTAGTTACATAGCCCTTAGACCTCAGTTATCATGGAAAAAGACAGGAAATTTCAGTTTTGACAATATGGGACCTTTAAGTGGACTTTTTTTCATCTTTTCTTTTAAATGATGTTGTCAAATACTGTAACAGTATTGGGCATTAGTTATAATACTAATATACATCTGTACTGGCACTCTAGTACTTGTTTTATTGCATTCTATTGTGTAAAGTATACTATGTGATGTCACACAATACAATATGATTGGCCAATTTGAATATGATTTAAGGTAATATAAAATATTGTAGTATTATCACAAACAGAGAGTATACAGGCTTCTGCGTTTCAAGAGGGAACGCATTCAAATCAATGAAAAAGCTTTTATACAATTTTGCATGTTCACATAATGACCAGTAGATAGAGCCGCGAGAATATTGTGTAGAAACACGAACCCAAAAAGTCTTTTAGTAGGCCTATACAATACATATTATTTTATATACTACTATTTTGTCAAGCTTCTGTTTAAATACTTCAGTGGCAAAGTTAAATCAACAGTTTAGCTTTATCTCTCACACAAGCCTCAGGGTGAGGCCCTTGTCATCACTTGAGATTGAAATTTAAGATGTTCCTGCAGTCGGCTGTTTCCCATTATGATGACCCTCCCATAAAGACGTACCTGTTTCATGATATGTTCTTTCATTCCAAAATAGGCCTACATGTTAAAGCTATTTTGCAATTTCCTGTACTAAAAAGAAACATCATAAACTGCAGAAATAAAGTAGATTAGGCTGTACGCCACTGATTTGGCAGCTCTTAACTTGAAATAGTAGGTGATATATTTTACATGAGATGTTCATGGCACTAAAATGTTAAAGTTTTAAAAGATGAATTCCTAGATGGAGAAAGGCAGGAAGGTCTGAGTGCCTGAGTACAGGATGTTTTCTGAGGAGCCTTACTTCCTTAATGCATTAATAATTCACATTTCATGAAACATATTAAGAGGGATACAAAAGAAAGCAAGAGACAGAGAATTAGAGTGAACAGAACAAAAGGAAATAGCTTTGAAGAAAAACATTCAATCGCTTGGGATTTGTTGTAGATTTGAAGAGAACTAGTCTAGACTCTAGATCAATGTAACGTCTCAGTCTTAGGCCAAACAAAGTAAATAATTCACTGCCATTTTTATTGTTCATCATCTATGGATAAAGAATGGTCTTACTCTGTGAATTAGTGTAAACCACATTTCACAGAAACAAGATATTGTTTCACAATCTCACACATTCTTTGTGAAATATATAGTGTTGTAGATTATGAGTGACGTGCCCTGGCCGCAAAACTGAGGCAATGCAGTTGCTATTTACACATACAGTTAGTCAGTCACACTCTTAAAAATAAAATGGAACCTTTTCATTCCACAAAAGGGTTCTTAGATTATTAAAATGTTCTTCACACTAAGAAAAAATGGTTCTTTTAAGAACTGTTCACTGAAAGGTTCTTTGGGGAACCAAAACTGGTTCTTCTATTGGCCTCGCTGTGAAACCCCCCTTTTGGAACCTTTATGTTTAAGAGTGCAGTCAGTCTCAGCCAAATGCTCAGCGCATCACAACAGGGGCGGACACCAATGGGATGATTGTTTGCTATTGGCCGAGGACAGCTGCTGGCTGCTTAATTATTCATTGAGGGAAGCGCCAATTATGAACCTATCTTGGTAACTGAGTAAATTATTCATGATGTTTACAGTGGAAGGAGAGGGCAGACATACCAGATGACCATGAGTTTGCATTATTAAATTAGTTTTTGCATTAAAGACACCAAGAATGTCGTATGCCTTTTTTACTCAAAAGTGTGAAGGAAGAAGGATGCTGAACTGCTGCACTGGCTTAACATGCAGTCAGAAATAGATTTACAGTATTCAGCATTTTTCTTTTTTTTTCTTTATACACATCTCTCATACTTAAAAGAGCACACAAATTGGTCAACACATCAGAGATAGTTTTCAGCGACCCAAATTTTAATCATCAGACCTCAGAAACCAGTAGTTTTCCATATTTAATGCTGAAATGACAGATGATCACTTATTAAATATTTCACTGTGCATACATTTTTCAATAACAGTTTTTTCAGTATCTGTTGAAATATTTTATTTACTAATTTTAGTACCATACTCTTAAAACCATAATTAGTCCATGCCAAGGTCACAGGAAAAATTTTGTGCTTCTCTTGTAATCTCGCTTGGGTTTAGTTACAGTTTCTCAAAAGAGTAGCATCATGTGCAAATTATCAATAATGGGAACTTTATGAGAAAAGCTTGACTGCAATTTATTATGGTCTAAGTTTACAAATGAAATCTGGGAAAATAAGACAAATGGGAAAATCAAGCAAAATAAGAGTGTTACACCTAAAAAAGCCATTTAAATTAATTAAAATAGCATTACAACAAAAATAATCATAATGCAAAACACATCCATTATAAAATCTTATAAAAACACACACACAAAAAATAATTTAAGGAAATATGTTTGTACATAAAAAACTTGCCAAAGAACACTGTCATCACTAAACAGCATGCACTGACATTCAATTTTCAAAACAAAACTCTGAATCTGTATTTCAGTAAATTATGTGAGAACATAAAAATGTGATGCTGTATGTCGTTTGAAACAGTCGGTCTCAGACTTTAGCCAACACACCATTTGAAGCTTTATTGCACACAAAAGGCAATCACTTGCCACACTCACAGAGAAAAAAAAAACCATACAAAAATATTGTACCTTCAGGAGTACAGCGGTTTGTCACTGAGGCAGTACCTTAAATGGGACACCTTTGCAATATAGTACCACAATTGTACATATTCCTATATTAAGGGTGCATGTTACTACTCTAAGGTACTGCACAATTAAGGGGCTTCTTTACCCCTGAAGGGTGCATATTAGCACCTTAGTATGCAAAGGTGTCCTTTTGAGGGTTCTGTCCCAGTGACAAGCCATTGTACCCCTAAAAAAGTACACATTTTGCACATTTTTTTCTGACAGTGCGAAACAGCAAGCTCTAATCTGATTGGCTGGCTTGATACACCGTATGTGATTGCAGCTCCACATTTTCACCAGTCCACTTTGTAAATCATGTTACAAAGTACTGAGCTGCTACAATAAATTGGTCACTGGATTTACCATAATTTGCCCAGTTTGTAGCACCAAGTCTGTGATCAGTTTTGAGGCACTTAGTAGCAAGTAAATAGACTGTTATCCCACATTATGTCTGAAATTCTGGGCAGTAAATTCTGAAATACACAATCTCTGCTAATATTTTGTTTTGTGAACTTCTTTCATGCACCGTATCAGTTATTTTGGTATGATTGATTTTAGGTAAAGACCATGCAAAAACAAAACGTGAAGTGAATCACTTTAAAAGTGGGTCAGATTGCCTCTTCCTGTCTGCTGAGTTTGTGCTTATCAACACAATCTGGAGAACATGCTCTAGATAGGAGTCCAAGATATTCAGAAGCTGCAGCTCAGACTGGGTGTTATAGAAACATTCTGTGACGGAAGTGGATTAGGAGGTGTGAAAAGACCACAATAATAACAGGAAATTCACCTTTTTTTTCTTTTTTCTTTGTAAGATCTGTCCAACTTCAAGTTGTTGTTGTATTGATCATTCAATATAAGCAAACAACTTTATAAGCAAAAAATGTCCAATGCATCTAAAATTTTAGCATGCAGTGGGACAAGTTGTCCTCATTTGACCGCCCTTTGTTGGGACGGGGTCTGAATTGCTTTTGGAGCTGTGCATGTTGTGCTGGCTGCTGTGCGTCGAGCACTGACTCAAGCTGACTTTGTTACACAGCGACGCCATGCTTCTTCTGATCTCCTGACGGATATTGTTGCTGGAGAGCACGTAGAGAATGGGGTTGAAGGCGCTGTTGAATGTCGACAATCCTAAGGAGATTTTGTAGGGCGTGTAGATGTGCTGTTCAAAGTGACAATCCTTTTGCAGTTTGGGGAAGTGGAAGGTGATGGCGCGCAGCAGCAAGATAATGTGGTACGGAGCGAAACAGATCAAAAACAACGCCACCACAGCCACAGCCAGGTAGCGCACCTTCTCTTTCTGATGAGGCTGGAGGCTCGTACTGGCCTGAACGTTGGCAAGAATGGCTCTATTGGTGAAGATCAGGATGGCAAGGGGGATAAAAAAGCCGATGCAAACGCGAGCGTAGCTGAATCCCGTAACTATTGCTGAGCTCTGGCTGGGCTCAAAGCAACGGCGTTTTCCTTCGGCAGCATTGCCTTCAGACATGATGAAGACAGGCGTGTGACCCAAGCCCACAACCATGTAGATCGAGAACGCCACAAGAGCTGCGATGCGTTTCTGGCGAAGGCCCCGAGACTCGATAGCGTAGACCACCGCCACATAGCGGTCGATGGACACGCAGCACAGCAGGAAGATGCTGATGTACATGTTGTTGAAGAATACAAAGCCAGTCACTTTGCAGGCCAAGGAGCTCCAGGGCCACACGTGGTTTTGATTGATGTACACCGTCCACAAAGGCAGCGTGAAGAGGTAGGTGAGGTCGCACACAGACAGGCTGAGCAGGTAGATGCCGAGGACGTTCTTACGACACACCTGGTGGAGGGTGAGGTAGACCGTGACCAGGTTGGCTGGCAGGCCGATGATAAAAACCACAATGTAGAGCACCATCAGAGGAACGCGGTCATCTTCATAGGATATTTCACAGGTCACATTCTTACTCTCGTTCATGGTCATCAAGATGCCCGGTGCCACAGTGAATGCATGTATCATTATCTTGGGGGGGGCAAAGAGAAAAATGAGAATGGGGGATGAAACACAATTGTGACATTGGAAGAAGAAATTTTTTTTTAATAATTTCTTCCCTAATTTTAGTTTAATCGTGGCCACCTTGTACTATTTTGTTCCCTCATTTTTTTAAAATAGCATGCCACATTGTAGTAGGTCATTCTCTTAATTGTAATTGAGTATAGGTAGTTAAAACTGTAGAAAATGTACACATTTCAAAATAAAAAAAAAAAAAATTAAAATGAAAGAAAAGTTTCACAAATAAAAATGGCAAAGACCTTAAATAAAAAAAATTAAAATGAAAGAAAAGTTTCAAAAAAAAAAAAAAATTTAAAATGAAAGAAAAGTTTCAAAAAAAAAAAAAAATTTAAAATGAAAGAAAAGTTTCACAAATAAAAATGGCAAAGACCTTAAATAAAAAAATTTTTAATTAAAATAACAGACACAAAAAGGTAAATGCCCGTTTCTACACACTAAATGAGAGAAAATATAATATGTTTTGAATTTTTTATACATTGGGCATGTCTAATAAAATAAAAAAATGAGTTCCAGAGATATTAATGTTAAAGCTCACTTTGTTCCACTTTTCCCATTACTTTATATACTGTATATTTCACATGTGGTATTTGCCAAAAAGGTGGTATCTGTCAAAGATCAGAATCTAAATTAATATCCACATTCAAAGCCATTTTTTCTGCAATGATTCTCTGGGTTTTGCACCTAAAATCTGTATTTCACATTTGCTTTGATTCAAAAATCATTTTGAGGCATCCAACATACAATTTGGTACAGATAAAAGTAGTTTCCCTTTGACCTGATTACTGATAAGCAGCAAAAGGCTAAAACTTTCCCATCTAACTACATGACACAGTATGTAGAGTTTCAGTGTTCCTGCCATGTCTCATCCACAGTAAAACATCCCCATTCCCCTTCATCTCCACACAGCACATTGTACCACTCCCTACGTTTGCCCCAACTAGACAAGACAGCCACTGAAATATTCATAGAGACCCCATCATCCACGGGGAGAGGGGAAAAACATGTGCATCAGAATGGAAACACACTAGTGGAAACCACATTTGTTGCTAAATGAATTATATGAATCATAGCATAACGGTCTAGCTGTAGACATTTCAGAACCTTAAAATGAGTTGTTAATGAGACCAAAATATAATAGGCAGTAATTGAGCAAGATGTTTTTAAAGTTTAGAGAGTAATAACAGTTAAACCACCCATAGGTTATGCAAACAACAGACTAGCTGACTAAGAGTCACTCCCTTTTTATTTGGTACTCGTTTCTCGCTATTCACACTGGGAAAAAGTCCTGACCTTGCACATGAACTCTACAGAGCATTGGCCAAGTAAATAGTGCAAGTCCTCAATTTGACCTAATGACACTAACAAGAGCAGTTGGACTGGCAATAATGGCATTGATGGAAAGAATACAAACAGCACTAGTCTTCAGTGTTCTGTGACCTCCTTACAGTCATTAAATCACTGTACGGGTGTTAAGACAGACACTGTGACTTTTGGATCAGATGAAACCTTTTATTTTCTCGTCCCATATCATTAGTGTCAAGACACTGGCCATGCTCAGTCAAGTGTATAAGACCTTTATTTTCAGACGCTCCTGGCAGATTTGGGGAAACAAGTTCAAACATGATGCTCTACAGCAAGAAGATGCCAGACATACCTATATTTATTATCTGAAATGTATTTTATTTATTATTAACGCATTTCAAATGTATCAGAACAGAAACAATTATATATGCTTTAGTCTAAATTAAACTGACATCTTCATTAAATATTCATGACTCCTTTATTTACTGCAGACACCGAAATCAAACCATACCAAACCTCTCAAGTAAAAATTATGATTTAAAAAAAAAATTGTATTTGTTAAATATGACATTTAACACTTCAGATCTGTTTTTAAAACCTCTTAAGGCTCCTTGAAGATCGGGTTAAGGTCAAGTCCGCAGAGAAGAAATCAACTGATATTTTAATTTCAACTATCAGCCAACTTTCGAACTAACGATCTGCTAAGGATTATTAATGTAGTAATCTTACTTATTAATAAAGTTATAATTGTAAGCTACATTGAGTGTTTCAGAGAAAATCGTTTTTTTTCCAGGTTAAAATGGAACATCCCTGCTTCAGATAATTAAAACACATGGCCAGTAAGGTCACATAGTAGGGTACATGTGAAAACACATATCCTGTTTTCAAATTGTCCTGCACATAAAAACAAAAAAACACTGGTGCTTCTCAATATGTAAAAACAAATATGACATTTTCTATAAAATGTAACGTATAAAACCGCGTGGCTCTTACCTCTAAATGGTGTTAAGAATGTGTCCACTCTTCTTCCATATAACCATTGAAATGACAGTGGAGCAGCGCGCGCACGCACGCACGCACGCACGCACATCTCTACAGCACACACGATCACGTGATCATCACACGTCTGCTTTCTCTGGCAGCAGCTTTAAAAAAAGAGCAGCATCCGAAAACTCTAAAATGCTTCCAAGGCAGGAAGGCATCAAGTCACGTCCGAATTAGGGATGGGAAGATTCCCCGATTCGCTCGGTGCATCGGCATAACAAGTTAACGATGCGATGCATCGGTTTAAAAAGTGTGCATCGGCTACAAGTTGGCATTTATATCGCGATGCATCGTTTCTAACATATTTGCGTCGGTAAAATCCGATTTATTAATATATAATTACTAGTGGATGCGCTATACTTTTATTGTTTAGAAAGTGACCAATAATTTATATGTAGCTTGATTATATATGCTTCTTATAGCAGTTTAGAAGTCATTTTCTATTATTTATTTTCATTTTAATTCAGTGATTTTAACTTTTAATTTAGATATTTTAATGCTTTAAAGAGCTATTTTAGATTGTAATGTTCTAATGTTCTGCAAAGGTACAGCTGTCAGAAAACCAGAGAGAGCCTGTCTGCTTGGCTAGAAACTAAAAAAAAGAAAGAAAAGAAAGTCAAATAATAGTGTTCCTATTAGTCAGTGTTAGAGGAACTCAGCTTAGTCTGACAGTTAACCTGCTTTAGACCAGGGGCCAGTTGCATAAACATAGCCACCATGTTAAGACTGTGCCTTAACAACTGGTTACTAGCCAAGAGGTAATCAGACTTACTTTCTGGATTCAAATTAGACCAGTCTATCTTTTTATAACTGACTTTAAAAAGTTATGACCAGTCTTAAAGAAATAAAATTGGATGACTAACTTTTTAAGGCAAGAAGATGCCAGACATACCTATATTTATTATCTGAAATGTATTTTATTTATTATTAACGCATTTCAAATGTATCAGAACAGAAACAATTATATATGCTTTAGTCTAAATTAAACTGACATCTTCATTAAATATTCATGACTCCTTTATTTACTGCAGACACCGAAATCAAACCATACCAAACCTCTCAAGTAAAAATTATGATTTAAAAAAAAAATTGTATTTGTTAAATATGACATTTAACACTTCAGATCTGTTTTTAAAACCTCTTAAGGCTCCTTGAAGATCGGGTTAAGGTCAAGTCCGCAGAGAAGAAATCAACTGATATTTTAATTTCAACTATCAGCCAACTTTCGAACTAACGATCTGCTAAGGATTATTAATGTAGTAATCTTACTTATTAATAAAGTTATAATTGTAAGCTACATTGAGTGTTTCAGAGAAAATCGTTTTTTTTCCAGGTTAAAATGGAACATCCCTGCTTCAGATAATTAAAACACATGGCCAGTAAGGTCACATAGTAGGGTACATGTGAAAACACATATCCTGTTTTCAAATTGTCCTGCACATAAAAACAAAAAAACACTGGTGCTTCTCAATATGTAAAAACAAATATGACATTTTCTATAAAATGTAACGTATAAAACCGCGTGGCTCTTACCTCTAAATGGTGTTAAGAATGTGTCCACTCTTCATCCATATAACCATTGAAATGACAGTGGAGCAGCGCGCGCACGCACGCACGCACGCACGCACATCTCTACAGCACACACGATCACGTGATCATCACACGTCTGCTTTCTCTGGCAGCAGCTTTAAAAAAAGAGCAGCATCCGAAAACTCTAAAATGCTTCCAAGGCAGGAAGGCATCAAGTCACGTCCGAATTAGGGATGGGAAGATTCCCCGATTCGCTCGGTGCATCGGCATAACAAGTTAACGATGCGATGCATCGGTTTAAAAAGTGTGCATCGGCTACAAGTTGGCATTTATATCGCGATGCATCGTTTCTAACATATTTGCGTCGGTAAAATCCGATTTATTAATATATAATTACTAGTGGATGCGCTATACTTTTATTGTTTAGAAAGTGACCAATAATTTATATGTAGCTTGATTATATATGCTTCTTATAGCAGTTTAGAAGTCATTTTCTATTATTTATTTTCATTTTAATTCAGTGATTTTAACTTTTAATTTAGATATTTTAATGCTTTAAAGAGCTATTTTAGATTGTAATGTTCTAATGTTCTGCAAAGGTACAGCTGTCAGAAAACCAGAGAGAGCCTGTCTGCTTGGCTAGAAACTAAAAAAAAGAAAGAAAAGAAAGTCAAATAATAGTGTTCCTATTAGTCAGTGTTAGAGGAACTCAGCTTAGTCTGACAGTTAACCTGCTTTAGACCAGGGGCCAGTTGCATAAACATAGCCACCATGTTAAGACTGTGCCTTAACAACTGGTTACTAGCCAAGAGGTAATCAGACTTACTTTCTGGATTCAAATTAGACCAGTCTATCTTTTTATAACTGACTTTAAAAAGTTATGACCAGTCTTAAAGAAATAAAATTGGATGACTAACTTTTTAAGACTAGTCTAAGCGGTTTATGCAACCGGCCCCAGGTTAGTTTCCCAGCAGACGTTGCCACAGTGACTGAAGTTGATCTATGTTAAATTTACTACAAACCAGTATGTTCATAATTAAGATAACACATTAAAATAATATAAGACACACCAACTTTCAATATCAAGCAGCAAAACAATCATATTTTGTTCAGCTAAAAATAGCTGGACGGAGTGGACGCAGATGAGACCGGAAGCTAGACCCATAGAATTTACAAATGGCGCTTCCATTTTCACAACAAGAAGACAGGGGGGCGCTTATTTTAGCACCATCGGTGCTTTGTGGGTTTGTGTATGTGAGCGAATCGAACACACATGATGCTCAAAAGATACATATCATTAGGATCTTGGAAAAACTTGAAAAAAAAAACGATGTAAAAACTCTTAATCTTTAATAAAGTTTGACCACAGCATATTTCTGAAACTAATAATTTTAAAACAAGACGAAATTAAATAAAATACATTTTGATTAAAATAAATGAATAAAAAATGTAAATTAAAATAAAATACATTTTGTTGCAATAAATTGTGCTTGTTTCTGGACTGACAAGTCTAGGGCTGGATCTGGACCTACCCTGCGTTCCATTTGGAAGGGCTCATCCCTATGCCCTAATCCCTTCAAAGGGTTTACCCTCCGGAGTGAGAGCTTCGAAGGGTTGAAGGGTGTAGGGGACCAAACAACTGTTTCTTGAAGTGCCCTTCTGCATCATCAGCTTCTGCCCACACAGAGGCGTAGTCATCATGCAAACTGCGCAAAGGATCATGGGAGCCCGACGTGTCCATCAGTTGTACCCTTCGAAATCCTTCATTCCGAAGGGCCCTTTGAAGCAGCCAGTTTTGAGCACTTCAGTTTGGAACGACCCTTCAATATGGCGGCAATGATTGTTTTCACTCCGAAGTGCCCTTCGGAGGGCGATATATCTTGTTTGGAATGCACCGCTAGTCTTGGTGTTAGTAGACCTAGTATTGGTGTTTGTCTAAAATATACACTACCAATAAAAAGTTTGGGGTTTGTAATTTATTTAATTTTTTATTAATTTCTTTTGTGGAAGTGGGAGCCCGACGTGTCCATCAGTTGTACCCTTCGAAATCCTTCATTCCGAAGGGCCCTTTGAAGCAGCCAGTTTTGAGCACTTCAGTTTGGAACGACCCTTCAATATGGCGGCAATGATTGTTTTCACTCCGAAGTGCCCTTCGGAGGGCGATATATCTCGTTTGGAATGCACCGCTAGTCTTGGTGTTAGTAGACCTAGTATTGGTGTTTGTCTAAAATATACACTACCAATAAAAAGTTTGGGGTTTGTAATTTATTTCATTTTTTATTAATTTCTTTTGTGGAAGAAGTTTCTTTTGCTCAAACTATTTCATCAAAAAATACTGTGAAACATTACCATGTTAAAAAAATTGAATATATTTTAAAATGGCATTTTTTTCGTGTGTTGTAAACGGTGAATTTTCAGTGTCACACGATCTTTCAGAAATCATTCTAATATGCTGATTCGCTGCTCAGGATACATTTCTTGCCATTAGTAATGTTGAAAACAGTTGTGCTGCGTAAAGGGTTAGTTCACCCAAAAATGAAAATTCTGTCAATAATTACTCACCCTCGTGTTGTTCGAACGCGAGCGTGTGGCTCACGTCATGATACTGTCATGAACACGCGTCCACAAGTGACGCAGTAGAGACGAAAATGTGTAATAAAGTCGTTATTTTTGTTTTCTTTGCGCAAAAAAGTATTCTCGTAGCTTTGTAACTTTACAGTTGAACCACTGATGTCACACAGACTACTTTGTCGATCATCTTGGTACTTTTCTGAACCTTGAACGTGGTAGTTACCTTGCTGTCTATGGGAAGGTCAGAGCCCTCAGATTTCATCAAAAATATCTTAATATGTGTTCCGAAGATGAATGAAGGTCTTACGGGTTTGGAACAACACGAGGGTGAGTAATTAATGACAGAATTTTCATTTTTGGGTGAACTAACCCTTTAATACAGTGGGGCAAAAAAGTATTTACTCATTTTGTCTCTCATAGTTGAGGTACACCTCTGATGAAAATTACAGGCCTCTCATCTTTTTAAGTGGGAGAACTTGCACAATTGGTGGCTGACTAAATACTTTTTTCCCCCACTGTATGTCTGTGAAAACCATGATTATAATTTTTTTCAAGATTCTCTGACAAATCTTTTGTAACATTATAAATGTTAGATATTTACCAGAAAACCAGTACAGTAATATAAACAGTATTACTGTTATCAACAGTTCAGTATAATATTTTTTTAAATATAAAAAAAAGGAGAGGGTGAGGAATGTTCAGAAACTCATACACGGGCAAACAAACAGGTGTGAGGGGTGAAAGAGTATGTTGGTCACGTCAGCAACCACAGATAGCCTCCCTTCAGAAATGTTCACCTGTAGAGTTGGCAGAAGGACACTTGGCAGTTTAATCATACAGAACAGATACATTTGCAAAAGAATCACTCCGAATGACTCACTCCACTGGTTCGCAGTC